ATGGGCAATCGACCTGGCCCAGCAGGCTCCTCTTACATTCTTAAATAGAACCAGGATGTAGCTGGTGTTCTGGGCAAATAATTGTTGGGATCACAGAGTCAGAGGTGGCCTTCAGGTATTAGCTGCTATGCCTCCTCCTTTAGTCTTCTTTTCTGCAAAGAAACACACTCAAAGGGTAGAGCATGGGTGGGCAAACTTCAGCCCAGGGGCCGGATCTGGCCCAATCGCCTTCTAAATCTGGCCAACGGACAGTCCGGGAATCAGCATGTTTTTACATGAGTAGAATGTGTGCTTTTATTTAAAATGCATCTCTGGGTTATTTGTGGGGCATAGCAATTCGTTCATTTTTTCCCCTTCAAAATATAGGCCGCCCTGTTGCTCAGCAAGCAGCACTATGGTTGTTTATATCATGTGAGTGTCTGAGAGCGTGAGACAGGAAGTCTCAGTACTGTTGGAGTACTGTGAGAAGTTACTTTCACTTCTGATTGAGAAGTTGTTCTGTACTGCTGCTGAGAGAGAGCGGACATGCTGATGGAGTCTCTGTATATATGGACTGTAAATAAAGTAGTTTATAGCTTCTGATTGTCTTTTTCTTCTGCAATGAGATGCCAGAAAACAAGCGTGCTCCTCTCAGGAGGGAGGGGTCGCTTATCACCGGTTTCTCTGGACTGAGGAAGAGGGTGACCACCAGAGAGATGCCTTGGTGTCTTGGGAAGGTGGTGGCCTTCCCAGGCATTTTTTCCAACACGCACCCCCCCCCAAGGTCTGAGGGACAGTGGACCGGCTCCCTGCTGAAAAAGTTTGCTGACTCCTGGGGTAGAGTTTCAAGAGGATCTACAATGCATCCTGCACGACTGGTACGTTGGTAAGAGGACTGGTTAAAAGAAGCTAAGACCCTCCATTGAGGTTTAAGCACTCCCAGACATCACCATGCTGGAGAGACATGTCAGCTTGTGGAAAGGGGACATTCAGAACATGTCAGCTTGGAAGGGAAGAGCTTTGGAACCCTCTTGAACTAGTCTGCCTCATTGACTCAAAATGTATTGAAGTGGTAGCCCCCAGAGGTCATTATCATGCAGCTCCCATCAGCTATAACCACCATGGCTGATGGTCAGGAATCATGAGAGCTATACTCAAGAACACCTCAAGGGCACCATATTGGCTCTCCCTGGCCTACTGGCATGGGGTGGTGTAGGCTGGAAGAAGTGGGGAGTAGTACTCATTAATGTCTCAAAGTTCTGATTCATATTGTGGTTCCCCAGAGAAAGCAAGTGATGCAACCTTCCATGCCTTACTTAAGAAGACATAGTGGCCTGTACAGGATATTAATAAATATGACTGTCAAACCCATCACAAATCCTTGCATTCAATAAAGTTGTAGTATTAACTTATCCTAATCTTTGCTGTCATGTCTTTCCTCCAGCACTGGGGGCCAATAAGCAAATATCTTGACAGCTAACATGAATAAATGAATTATGGCACTGGAATACAACAGGGTGATGTTTTATGCTCCTTTGCCATACCAGATTGGACATGAGATTAGAAAGCACCTGAAGAGATTAGCTCCGCATCTGAGTCACAGGTGTTACAGATGCGGATTTAACTAGAGTGCAACATTTAGTTGTTTCCATTTGGAGATATAATGAGAGAAATATTGAGAAGAGGTCACGGGAAACATTGCTTGGGGCTGTATCCAACTGAGTTCCACTAAGAGCCAACCTAGTGAAATTAATGAACCTTAGTTAGTAATGTCCACTAACATCAATGGGAACTCCTCTGATTTGGGTTAGCACTGGGTAGACCACCCCCATGCTCCAGGAAGTGGTACTCATCCTTCACAGGAACGTCAAGCCACATCAGAAACATTTAAACATTTTTGTACATTTATTTGTCATCCCCCACAACAATGATTTTCTGGGTAATGAACAATTAAAACAAATTAAATCCACAAATTCAATAAAATGCCAGCACAAAATAATATAAAACAGAAGCAACCAATTCTATAGCAGACAGCAGTCCCAAAATTAGTTACAAAAGAGTCACAGATTCATCCATAGTGTGAGGACAAGAGAAACCTGTGGCTGTCCAGATGTTGGACTTAAACTCTTATCAGCCCCAGCCAGTACAGGGATGATGAGAGTTGAGGTTCAGCAGCATCCAGAGGGCACAAACAATGCCCAACAGCTTGGGAAAGAAAAAAGACTTCAAATGATATCCTCAGATGTGGTGTGGCAAGTGAAGCAAAGGCAAGGAAGTTGCACTCTGGACAGCTTCATGCAGGGCTAAGGCTGGAGACTCTATAGGAGCAGAGCTCAAATGTTGTTTCAGCAGCTGCTGCAGCTCCATTACAGTTGCTAGTTCTGCCTTTGCTGAGAGGTCTTAGTTCAAGGAACCCATCCTGCATTATCAGTTGATCCCCTAGGGCTTCTGAGCTGAAGCCCTCAGAGTCAGAGGAGCAGAAAATGATGTTTGCAGGTTTAAGAGAATGATGTAATGGGTTCCTCTTTCTGACTCCAGGTCATTATGACCTCCTCTTAGCAGGATTTAATGGTATTTCATAATGCGATTGCTTTAAAAATGAGTAAAAGACAGGGGTGGAAATTGGACCCAATTACCATACACATGACACCATCAAATGCTCCACAAGAGCAAAGAAGTGGCTAATGGGGACTTGGGATCCCATGCAGAGGAGGCAAGAATTTCAGGCCAGGATTAGTGCTCTGAAGGAGACTAGTGTCCTCACCAGGAAGGTAGCAGAATAGCCTGTCCTTGTGGTATAGAAAGAAGCTCTCATTTCGCTTGTGCTAAGGAATAACTTAAATACAGTGTTATGCATAGAATCTTGACATTGTAGAGAAGGCCATGCTTACAGTTTTGTCCCATGCTTATTGATCAAGTGAGTTGTAGAACAGTCTGAGAAAGCTTTGCATCTCAGAAGCCTAGATGCCTAGATTGATGTCTTTTGGTGGTTTTCCTCTAGAAGAAGTCACCTTTGGGGCAAAGTGTGCTTTGTGCAAACATTACAGCTACTAGATGAGAATGTATTAAAGCAACAGCTTTTAGTCACCAGCTACTTGTGCACACCAAGATGGAGTCTGTTGTACAAAGAGGAAATTGAGAAGCTAGGTCCAGTGTCTTAGTATTGAAGCCAAGCCATGGTGGTGTCTGGAAGTCATAACAGACGGTAGGTTTTTATTCCTGAATAGGGTAATGGTGATGAAAATATTGGGGATATTCAGGGAAACAAGTTCATAGACTTTCAGGTGGGTATGTAATAGTAGCTTCAAACAATATTTAGAGATGGTTTAAGAGCTCCCCTCTTCCGCTTCTCTCCCAGAAATTGAAGCTATGTTCAGTGTAGTTACTGCATGCTTTTAAAATGGCACTGCTAATGCCCCTGGGAAATTAATGCCTCTGAGAAATGATGCTTGGAGTATCCATTTTTAAAGCACATGACAGCTACACTGCCTATGTGCTCAGCTGAACTGCAGCTTTGCTTTTAATGGGTTGGGGTTTTTTTTGGGGGGGGCAGACACAGGGGAATCCATCCGACCACCTTGTAGTATTATTTGTAGGAACTGCCTCTCACAAAAATATCACAACCAAGCAAAGATCCTCTTCCTCTAAATCTTCAAGAGGTTTTTGCCCCCCACCCCAGAAGCTGCTCTCAAATGTGAAGAAAACATTTATCTGCAACATCAGGGGCATTAGGTATTAGGAGAGGCAGGCTTTTTCTTCTTAGTGTGCTGTTGGACAATCATTTTATAGTTGTACCCAACTCTACTAGGGTTAGAATCATTGAAATTAAGGGGCATGATTAACTTAGGTCCATTAATTTCAATGAGTCTACTTGGAGTAGAACTTTGTCTTGTGCATTGCTTTACCCTTTCCCAGTTTTTGATTATTTTTATGTGTTCATATTTTGCCTTGTTAACTTGTCTTGGGACCTTTTTAAAAATATATAAAGCAACTAGCAAATAAGATCAATAAGAACATTAGGGGTGACCATAACTGAGGGATTGCACGAAAATACATCAGAGTCATGAAGTCATTTTTGCTTAGTCATGGTCCTGGCCCAGGCAAACATTTACCATCCTGGAGGACCCAGTGGACAGTCTGTATGGGCAGGGCCAGAACAGAGCCTGAGAGTCCTTCAATGCTAGGAAGGTGTTCCAAGCTGTAGTTCTGATAGCTCGGCACATAGTTCAGCCACACAAACGTAAGACGCCCAGTAAACCTCCACACAGGTCCTCCACACAAGCCAACAATGTTGGCTTCCTGTGAATTCTGTGCCCTTGCCCATCACATAACTCATGTACTTAAGCAATATACTATGCTACTACTGCTTACTAGCATTTAATGTCCTCATTGTTAATCATCACATTTTGATGTGTGCCAGTAAAGCTTGCCAAAAAAACCGAGGATCTATTGATGGCAATGGTCCCATCTTGAGTCCCTTTTAAAGTTGCCCTCTGACCAGCCACATCTCACTTAGCCCTGTCAGGGACATAGGGCGGCACAGAAATGATATTTGCAAACGCGCCTCGCTACATTAGGGGAGAGATGTGGTGACAGAGAAGCCAGAAGGTTCATTAAGAAAATCCTTTAAGAGTGAGTGATGATTGGATCAGACAGCATGCCAAGGGAGCACGGGGGTGAGGGTGGGGCAGGAGTCAGGAGAAATGTGTGGGGAGCACAGGAAGAAAAAAGTCAAACAGATGGAAGAGGCAGATGAACTGACAACAGCAAGGATCATTTCTTGCACTGGGTTAACCCACTCACTACATCAGTGACACTTAGAAACAGGAATTCATACATGTACTTTCCCATACCAGGAAATGTTGCTATTGCTTAAAGGTTGATGCTTGACGTGAGATGGATTTTAGTTATAGGGGCATCATTAAGCAAAGTAGTTCTAATCAGCCTCATGGTGTTGAGACGTGGGTGGCACTGTGGTCTAAACCACTGAGCCTGAGCCTCTTGAGTACTGGTCTGGGGGAAATGAAGAAGAAGAAGAAGAAGAAGAAGAAGAAGAAGAAGAAGAGGAGGAGGAGGAGGAGGAGGAAGGAATAAGGTCACATATGTTGAAGAGTATGTGATATTATTTCTTCTTCTTCTTCTTCTTCTTCTTCTTCTTCTTCTTCTTCTTCTTCACTATTTCTTCCCCCCCAGACCAGTACTCAAGGCAGCTTACACAAAACTTAAAAACAACACAAATAAAATAAAACACACACACATACACACACACACACACACACACACACATATATAAAATTAAAGTCCAATAATATTATGACAAACATATCAAAAGTCTCCCATGCTCTAATCCACACAAAACTGAACACAGTTGTGTTGCCCTTGAAATTTATCAGGGCTCAGGGAAGCAGGCAGCACACAATGCTATTATACTGATCTCTAATGGGAGGAACTGGGACTTTATGCCACATTCTCCCCCAGTGTTGCCAGTCTTCCCGCAGACTCTGGAAGACTTTTGTTTGTTTGTTTTTAACATCCTCTCTCCGCAGTCAGATTAGGATGTGCAATTTAAGAACTGCACCAGTTACATTGCCAATACAGTCAATGAAGGGAATCTGTCACTCTTTGCAGCAGCGCACTGCAGCAGTAGATCAGCCTGGAGCATGGGTTGCTCTAAGGAGGCTTGGCAGTTGAGAGAGCGGCCTCCCTCCAACAATGAATGAGTCTCCCCTCTGACAGTGTTGAGAGCTTGGAGTCTATCACATCAGCTTAATGGAGCATCGTCAACTTACCCCAATGAGGCACTTAATCGAAGGAACATTGATACCACTTGGGTTGCCAGGCACACTTTTATGACAGCTCTTTGCGCAGGAGATGTCTTTGTGCACTTAGCTCTTTCTTGGGATAGACTGACATGAGGGGGCTCGATGAACCCTCCCATTAAGGAAGGTCTGTGCACTTTCTTTATGGGGAAGAAATAAAGAGGTGGCTGGATAAAGAGAGAGATGCGGCACATACTTGCTTGGAGGAAATAACACATTCTCCAATGAAAGCATCTAACTGATGATGATTGAAGAGCCATTGCCAGTTAGAGTCGACATGAAATTGATCAAGAGCAGCCAGTGTGATGCCTTCCCAGATGTCTTCTTCTTCTCCCATCCCACCCAGTGCTTCCAAAGGGCACCTGGGCTCCAGGTGCCTATAAGTATGGGGTTCAGGGGGTGCAGCTGGTCTTTGTCCAGGCCCTGCTCTTTAGGCTGAGGAGGAAGAAAGCCCTCCCTTGTCTGTCCTTGTCCTAGAGGTTGACCCTCTCGACCTGGCTCCCTGATGAGCAGCAGGAGTCCTTTGGTGGGTGGATCAGGGCTGCTTTAAAGGGGCAGGCAGGTTGGACTCAAAAGCAGGGTGGGTGAGTCCTGATGGTTCCTTACATGGGGTGAAAAACACAAGAATACACTGAAGATACAACAAGCTACTCGGGTAGAAATCTGAAATTCTTTTTTTTTTAATTCTAGGTTGGAAACAAAATGAGCTCGTTTGAAACTTTTCAGGGAAAAATCTGGACGGAAATAATTTTGTTTTAGCAAAGAAGCTCATGTGCATGAGAGAGAGATTGAGGGTCTCTGTATTCAAGACATCACATTTCCATACCATAAGGTTTTTACTCCCACAATTCCTCACAGTGCTCCAGACTACAATTTCAGCTTTTTCTTTCTTTTGCTGGTGCCCAAGTTTCTTGCAGTATTACTGATCTCAAATAGCATTAGCTTTGTCAGAGTAGAATTCAGATTTTATCTCATTTGACAGAGGCATTTATGATGTAAATACTGGGTGGGGGCAGCGTAGGAGAGCGGAACCCTTGTTTAATTTGTGAGTTCTGCTGTTTTGTCACAGCAGTTAAGACTCTGCTAATAGATTCTGACTTCATGAAAATTATACGTTTTAAGAAATGGGATTTTTAACAGACAAGATCCTCCTGATAATAATGCAATAAATATAGCATACTGAATTGTTCCTGGCAGCAATTTTTGCTTGTGATATACAGGCTGAACATCACATATACCAACCAGATATATGCAGATATCAGGACACGTTTCTTAAAAGGATTATTATGTCTGATCAGTGGCTGATGAATATCAAGTTGCTTGATCAGAGACAGGGAAAGAAACAGGGCAGGGGATGGGAACCTGGTTCTTCTATTATTTCCTTGAGGTAAATGACCTCATGGCACATTATTGCAAAGATGGAGGTGTTAATTCAATAGTTCTTACCAGAGCCATTCCCTGTTTTGGTTCATTTCACATGGAAGCCTTTTCGCAGAATAGTGGAATTGCATCCTGATAGTTTGGTCGTCAATAATAATAATAATAAGAAGAAGAAGAAGAAGAAGAAGAAGAAGAAGAAGTTATTAGTTATACCCCACACATCTGGCTGGGTTTCCCCAGCCACTCTGGGCAGCTCCCAACAGAATGTTAAAAACACGATAAAACATCAAACATTAAAAACTTCCCTAAACAGGGCTGCCTTCAGGTGTCAGGTAGTTGTTTATTTCCTTGACATCTGATGGGAGGGCATTCCACAGGGTGGGTGCCACTACCAAGAAGGCCCTCTGCCTGGTTCCCTGTAACCTCCCTTCTCACAGTGAGGGAACCACCAGAAGGCCCTCAGAGCTGGACCTCAGTGTCTGGGCTGAACGATGGGGGTTGCTATTGTTGGGATACTGCCAGGGAGACAAAGTCCATCATGGCCCCCAAGCCGCCTCCGGACGTCCACCGATCTCCCATAGATACAGTATCAGCAATTAGCGACACGAGCTCCAGAAATAGCTTGCCACATTCCAGAGCTGATGCACGCTCTATCAGCAGAGTTCGCATAGCGAAAGATGCACTCAGGAGAGCATATTTATAACTTTATTCAGCGTTGGTCAGAACAAAGAGAAAACACGACTGCCTGCTTCAGTGTCTCAGACACAGAGAGAGAAACGAAAGCAATAGACAAAACATAAACTTCCTGTGAACAGGAAATACGCAGACTCTGTGACTCACAAAGCCTGCTCCCTTTTAATGTGGAACGGAAATATCCTAACAGCTATTCCTCATCCCTTACATCCCAACATTGCGCAGGATGACTGAAAAGAGACCCTGCCTTCAACCGCGTGTGGATTAGGGTGGACTGATAATGCAGAGATCCCAAAGGCATAGATTTGGTTGGCTCAAGACATTTTGGCATCTGAGGCAAAGCACAAAATGGCGTGCCACACAGACCCCACTAAACAGGAAAAGGGTTATGAAGATTTACATCAGAAACAAAGAGGCGATAAAGATCAGAACTGGGGAAAGAGAGTGAGAGGGGACCAGTGGTGTCTCCTATTCATGGAGAGGGCACTATGGAGGCAGTATGGGGACAGTGGGGCTGGCAAGGAGCTGGCAGATCTGGCTTCCAAGGAGCGCACTGCAGCTGCTTCTGGCATCACAGCAGCACCAGTGGGGGATGCACTCCTTGGAGGCCAGATTTGCCACCCCTTGCTGCCCTCTTTTTCAGAAGTGGTGCACAGATATTGGGGGCAGGGCATGGCAACATTAGGACCGACACAGTGGGTCATGGTCTTGCTCCCTTAGTGTATGTGGACATGGACTCGATGTTCTTGATTTTGTCACTGGACAGACCTGCAAGTGGAAATCGAAGGCAGTAATTGCACTCTTTATGTGGTGCTGTTGTTGTTGTCGCCATCATCATCATTATTTATTTCATTTCTATACCGCTTTATATTTTTAAGAAAAATCTCAAAGCGGTTTACAGAATATTAAAACATCAATAAAACACCAATAAAACAATCTGAAGATAGTCAAATATAGACTATACAGTCAAAGCAAGATAATTAACAGAAAACTAAAATATAATCTTAAAGACTTCAAAATAAAACATTACAAAGGAGGTCAACTACAGAATACAGATTTAACACAAAGTTAACAAAAAAATCTTAAACATTTCTTTTTAAAAAAAACATTGCTAAATGAAGTCAAATATAAAATGCACATTTAAAGCAGCACAATTAACAACAGAATAAGAGAATATTCTCATAAGCATGACATGGCTGTTTGGCAGGCACAAAAATATGGGGCAAAAGAATCCAATAGTTAGGGTCGTGAGGCATAGGGATGTCCCTCTGGTCTCACCAGGAGCCTCTTTAGTAGAGCTGGTGAGTGTGGGCCTTGCCCCCTAGGGCAGGTGGAAAGGGCCTTGCAAGGAGTGGCCTTCCCGACTCACAGCCAGGCGATGTAGCACTTTCCTCAAGTATTCAAACATTACGTTTTGCGTAAAGCAAATTGGAATTATTATCCCACATTATGAAGGAATGTGGGCAACGGCTGAGAGATAACAGTTTGCCAAAGGCCCCGGCCCCTAGATTATGCTCTTTGCACAGTACAAGCCCAGTGTGGTAAGCTCTTAAACAATGGAAGAGTTCCTGCTGACACGGATAAATTGTTTAGGGGGCCTGCTTTGTCTCCACAATGACCCTACACTTTACACACTGGACTTGAAATATTGTTTTATTTACCAGTCACCTAATACAAAATATCTCTTGGCAACTTACCGTACATGCAAAACGGCGATTCCTGCATCGCAAGAGGTTGAACTCGTGGTGTCTTACAACTCTAGAATTCTATGGTTCTGTGATCATAGCTCTCACAAACAAAAACAGCACAAAGCATATTTCAACAGGTACAATTAATTTGAAACATATCAAAAGTTGAAATGAACATAAAACTAGTAGAACCAAGTTAGCCGGGCCCATTCATTTTGGTAGGTCTCCTCTGAGTATGAATAACACAGAGGCAACCCCAAGATCTTAAGCTCTCTTAGTTTATTTGATCTAAGCACACTAGGGGGGGGAAAGGGGTTTCATACCCACACAGATTTCTCCAGCTCGCAAACTGTTAACAGCAGAATGTTCTGCACTGAAAGGATATCTTTCAAGCCTGGATTTGGCAAGTTCTTTCAGCTTAATGGTTCCCTCCCATGAAAGATAAGCTCCACTGGTGAAAACAGTTGCTCAAATGGCCTTGTTAGCATGTGTAATATTTTATTTCTTTGAAGCTGATTAATTCTTATCACCAACGCCAGCTCTTTCCATCCATTTGCTAGATAAATATTACTCCCCATTAACACTTGGATCCCATGGGA